TCTTCGACTACGATCCAAAACGATTCAGCGGCCCCATGGATCTTCTCATCCCAGCGGAAATCGGGCGTGATGGAGATGTCAATTCGGAGAAGAGAGCGCGTGATTGGCTGGACCTGAGCTTGCAATCTAGATCATAATTGAGAAATGATGGATGCAGCGACGATGGGGGAAACTCACTGTAGTTTGGGGAAGCTGTGTACTAGTCGGTGAACTAGCCTGCCCGCATTGGGGATGCCAAGGAGTTCACCGATCTCCGGTGGGTTCAGGTCGAAATAGCGATACCATGGCTATGGATCTCGTCAGTAAAGGCTATAAAGACGACGGCGCTGCACTCACGAATTGTTTACCCTCAGCCTTCCGGATGACTTCTTGGGGAACACCCTTGAACTGCCGCAACGGCGTCATGGATCCCCACCTAAAAAACTGGTCAGTATGTTGATCACAGGCGGCGATGCAGGACACTGACATGCGTCGCTCAACCATCTTGCACATATCGAGAGCAGCTCGTGCGGGAACGGCCCACCCTCGTTTCATGCAAATCTCGAACAAAGCCCGAAGTATACTGGAAGAGAGATTCAGGAGGTGGAGACAGAAGGAAGACGGATAGAACTTACCGCCCTGCGGACTGCTGGACGAAGACCATATCAGCTACCAGAGCGAAACCTTCAAGTTTGAGCTGCGAAATGTAGGCTTGCAATAGAACGTTGATCTTGGCGGCAGGCTCGTCGACGCTCTCTTTGACCGGGATAGGCACTCGTTCGAGAAGTTTGCCCAACTCGAGTTTCTCCTACAAGCGAAATCAGAAAATCGATCAAAAGGGAGAAAAGACCAACGTACCTCCTGTCGAACAGGGATGTATCTGAACTCGTTCGACAAAGCGAAAACCCTGAATAGCTCCAGCATTGACATGGTCGATCGCAAATGCTTGTTGTACGTAGCCATGGAGTTGTACGTGACGTAGTAATGCGAGGAGATCCTTCCAAGCTCGGTGCTTTGGAATCGACCAGACGCCCTCTCGTACTTGATGAGATGGCATTTCTCCAGTAATGCAGCAGCGGAATGGATGATATCGGCGCGCTTCTGGATCAGGCCCTTGTCATCCTCGTAATCGACCCCAACGCTGTACAAAGCAGGCGATTTGAGCATCCGGACATACCTATAAGGATCGACCAGGAGTCAGCGAACAGTAACCCAACCCAAAAGAAGAAAAACGCACAAATATGTATAGCCAAGCCACTGGACCGCCTCGTCTCGATTCCGAATCGTCCCCAACACGATCTCCGCATTCAAATTATCCGCCAACTTCGCCACGAACTGACTCTCAATCGGCAACTGCTGGTTCATCAAACTCAAATAGTACTGCAGCTCCGAATGGTTCGTGATGATGACACCCTCTCCGTAGGTATCATACTGTGGTCGACCGGCACGACCGAGCATCTGGAGGACGTCTTGAGACGAGAGTTCGACCCAACGTCCCTTCTCGGGGTTATAGATTTGAGTTCCTTTGATGACGACGCAATGAGCGGGAAGGTTGACACCCCAAGCGAGCGTCGCAGTGCAGACGAGAACTTGGATGGAACCGTCGCCGAACAGGTCCTCCACAAGGCCACGATCCTCCCTCGATAATCCGGCATGATGGATGGCAAACCCAAAAGGCAGTAAATCCTTCAGGTTCGGATCCTTGACGTTATTGACTTCCTCCGTCAAGATCTCCCGTACCGCTGAGTCAGGCTTGACGAACTGGGTGATCGTCTCCTTCTCGATCGCCATATCCCGAATGAACTTGGCCGTCTTTGCAGTCTCCTTCCTCGAATGAACAAACACCAGCACCTGGTTCTTCCCCGCCTGATCCAACACCTTCTCGTAGCAAACCTCATTCATAACCTGATACCGCTTGATAGCCTTCTTCTCCGTCACACCGATGAACTGCTGCTGGAGGGGACAAGGCCGACTGGAAGCGTCGAAATAGAAAAGACCCTTCTTCTCGTCCACTCGCAAGAATGTAGCGACGTCTTGGTAGTTGGGTAAAGTGGCCGAAAGACCCACGAGCCGAACGTATTCGCCAGTCTGCTCCATCCTCCGAATCGTCCGCGCCACGATACTCTCGAGAACCGGCCCACGCTCATCATGCAACAAATGGATTTCGTCGATGATGATCAACCGAACCAAGTTGGTGTAGCTCGTATCAGTACTCTTGCGAGTGATAACGTCGTATTTCTCGGGTGTCGTAACGATGATTTGCGTTTCGGAGATCTGGGCTTTGGTCATTTGAGAGTCCCCAGTGAGTTCGTGGACTTTGACACCAAATGGAGCGAGACGTTTGGAGAATTGGCCGACTTGTTCTTGGACGAGAGCTTTCATCGGAGCGACATAGATGATCTTCCATGAATCGAGGTCGAAAGTGCCAGTCGCTTCGTCGCGCCATTTCGACATCTCGTTCAAGATTGTCAACATGGCGACGTTGGTCTACAATCCGGAGATGAGTAAAGATTCATCAGGGATAGGAGTCGAAACGCTCACCTTACCAGCACCAGTAGGCGCGCAGAGTAAAATCGGCTCGTCCGTGCCAAAGGCAGTCGGGTACAACTTGCTCTGCACAGGATTCAACTTGTCATATCCAGGGAACGCCTCCCTCGTCCACGCAGGCATATCCGCAATCAAAACCCTCTCCCTCTCATCTCCAGGCTTCTTCTTCGGCGCCGGTACGTGAATCTCCTCATACCCCTTCTTCGCTCTCTTGAACGAACCCTCCGGCAACTTGCATTTCTTATTCGACATCAAGTGGCCTCCCTGGGTGAAGGCCATGCTCTCCAAATCGACGGTACGTTTGGGGAGGGGAGTCGTGCCAGGAGCGAGTGTCGCGGTTTTAGGGACGGTTTCGGACGGTTTCGTAGAATCTTCGTCGACCTCCATAGCATCCCCCGCAGCGGGTCTTGTCGATGCTTTCGCCTGCCTATCGCCTGCCAACTCCCTCAAGATCCAACCAACACCCTTCTCCCTCATAGCGACCTCGACGTTCACTCTCTCGTCCGCGTCACTCCTCTGCAGCTTCGTACACCAAACGATCACGTCCCGATTCTTCAAGAACTTCGTGATCAGAGGGAAACTTTGATATTCGAAGAGCTCCATGAGTTCGTTCTCGCAGTCGCGAAGGGAGGATTCGGAGCCGAGAGTGGTGAGAACGGAAGAGGCTTTAGAAGCCGCCGTGACGGGATCGGGGTAAACTTCAGATACTTGTCTTTGTACCCAGAAAGCGTCGATTTGGTGGGGGGAAACGAGGTCTTTTGAAGATTTTGATTTGGCAGAGGCGCGTGCGGAAGAGGAACCACCAACCACGAGTTCTTCGCCTTCGAGCGTCTCCTCGGGTGTTTCGTCCTCTCCCTCTTGCTCTCCCTCCTCGTCATCACTCTCCTCTCGCACTTCATATCCCTCCTCTTCGTCTTCCTCCTGCTCCTCCTCGTCAAAAACGACAGCGACTCCCATCTCCTCGTCAATCTCCCCTTCCCGCTTCTCCAACTCCAGGTCCTCCACCTTCTCCTCCTCTGCACCGTAGTCGGTAATCTTCTTCGATAAGCCAACGAGCTGAGCGAAAGTCTCATTCGAGATATGCCCAACGACCTCTTCCACCTCCTTTTTCTTATCAAAGTCCTTCATGTTCTCGTTTTTAAGCGTCTCGAGAACCGTGTCGGCAGCACTCCTCACAACGTCCTGCGACTGGTCCCCAAGAGCCTGATGAACAGAAGACAAGATCAACTCGTAAACCTCCCTCGTCTCCGCCGTCCTCGGGCGATAAGTAAGGCCCTCCTGATCCTGAGTCGCCTCAATAATATCAGAATAACCATACCCAGCTGCAGCTTCCTGTCGTCTCTTGGACAACTGCTGCTGCTTGTCCGACGCCTCTTGTTGTTCTACAGCCTTCTTTTTCTTCTTCTCCATATCCTTTGGAGCGGCGCGTTGGACTCGAGAACCCATTTCGCGTGGGTCGATCCGACCAGCGAGAGTTGTGGGTGCGCCATCTGGTTCTTTGTCGCGGCGGGGGAGTTCTGAGCGGTCGGCGGTGAGAACTAGCGAGGAGATGGCGCCATAGTTGTAGCCGGACAGATCAGGTTTACGGGACATGATGGGAGGGAAGAAGAGGTTGTCGTTGGACGAGACGGTGAGCAAGTCAAGTTCGTCGCGGTCCCGTTTTGGCGTTGGTCATCATTTGCGGTACGTGAGAAAAACAGAGACCAGGTGGACCACGTTCATATTTCGTTGAAGACTTGAAGTCACTTCCGAGGCACTTATACAGTAACCTGAAAGTACCGATACAACGCCTGCGAGGGTCCAGATACACTAGGACCAGCGTTGCCTCGGACCTTTGATACGAACGAGAAATTCACCAAGGGCAAGGAGCATTGAGCTAGCAAATCACGACTACACTCACATCCGTGCGGACTGATTCACTGACACACATCAGGAAATTCCCTAGTCTCCCTAGCCAGACCAGATTCAGAATGCATTTGTTTTGTGTGCAAGTTCGGAAGCTCTTGCAAGGTTAACGTTTCAACCTCAAACAAAGTCGTGTTTTCTCGTCTGTGACAGTGCGAACGTTTGCAATCCAGTCCCTCCAAGGGATCTGCGCGACAAAACCATGGATAACGAGCGAAAGACTTAGGCAGGGGTCGGGCATTCACATCGCGTTGAGCATTTGGCCGAATGCTTTGGACGATCCGGTGACACGGCAGTGATTGGACTATCTTGACTTGGATTTAATCATAGTTCTGCGAAGACCTCCCTTCTGTTGGAAAAGAGTTCTGAATTGTCGAATGCTGATGAAAATCCACGCAAGGATAGAGTATGAAAGAACATACACGTTACTCTGGAGCGGTTACCTTGTGGCCAGATGGATCCGATGGAGCGGGCTCCTTCAACCCGAGAGCGTGCCGCCCAAAACCAAGGTCGCGGTTGCAGGGGAAAGGCGCTTGACTGGCACTGCAAAAGTAGACCACTCTTAATTATGACTTGATCAAGGCTCGAACTTCAGACCTTCTGTGTGCTAGACAGATGGGATAACCAACTACGCCATCAGGCCATACGGTGAAGTGTAATCAGTTTTGGTACCTTGGATGACCTCAGATAGGAAGGCGCTTCTGAGACACAGCCACACCGCCGTGCTCCAAGTACGGACAAGGCCTGCCTTCGATCCAGCACTGCGATAACAACGATGGACGACGCAGCACCTCCCTCCACAACGATGCATGCCCCACCCGACTACTCCAAACCCGACAGAGCTGTACCAGCCTCACGATTACCCTCCCTCAACCAACTCGCTGCTCGGATGCACCCCACTCCAAATAGCGTAGCGAGCCCCGTCGCTCGTCCCCGTCTCGCCGCATCCCTCCTTCGCACCGGTTCCACAACCAGTTTAGCAAGCACAGCAGATTCCATGGCTGTCAATGTCCCCAGCACCCGCTCCACGTCACCAAGCCTCTCCACTTCCCCTCCCAACTCCACCACCCCCGTTCCATCCGACGACGGAGGTGAACCGTTAACGTCTGAGAAACTCAAGGAACACGATCTGGAGAACGTGAACTCTGCGACGGTGACGAGTTCTCCTGTCGTTGAGAGGAAGGTGAAAGTGGGGTATAAGAATATCCCGAGTTTGGATGCGATCACGGCGAGGTTGGCGAAGGCTAGGACGTTGAGTATTGATGGAAGTCCTAAACCTCCTGATGCTGAGACTATCGAGGATCCCAAGACTCCTGGTGTGAGGATACTGGCGCCTGAACATCCATTGGAGAACAAATGGTTCGTCCACCCCATCTTCTCATATGATTCTACTAATCGAATCGCTACAGGACACTCTACCATGATCAAAAGACCGCCATCCCATTCACACCCGCCCCACCCCCAGACGCAGCCTCCGCCCCAGCAATAATCCACGCCAACGCACCCGAATCCACAGATTACGAAGCAGGCCTAACCATCGTCGGTGAATTCTCCACAGTCGAAACCTTTTGTCGTTATTTCAACTGGCTCAAACCTCCTTCCAAACTCGAACGCAATTCCAATTATCATCTTTTCAAGAGTGGGATTAAACCCATGTGGGAGGATCCTGCTAATGCGAATGGGGGAAAGTGGGTGTTGACTATGAAGGGGAACCCGGCGTTGTTGGATAGGTGTTGGAGTTGGTTGGCTATGGCGCTTGTTGGGGAGGAACTTGAGGATGGTGAGTTTGGTGTTTGTCGCATTTTGGTGGATATATGCTTATGTTTTCTCTTGGTGGGTGGTAGATGGTGACGGAGAAGGAGGAGGAGACATGATATGCGGAGCCGTCGTCAGCTTAAGGAGCAAAGTCGACAGAATCCAATTATGGACAAGGGGCAAGGACGACGTGGAGAGGTTAAACGCAATCGCGAAAAAGATGGTCAAGCTTCTCGATATATCAGAAGCAGATGCGATTGGTTTAGAATTCCAGGTCCGTTTGTTCCACGTTTTCCTCATTCTCTCCCTAATCAAATATTCGATGCCTCGCAATAGTATAATACGGAAGATCGACCCCCGCCGAATAAGTTCTTAGCTATTCAGACTCAACCGCAATCGTCTTATCGGGCTTCGTTCCATGGTGGACCACCGAGCGGGAAGGGTTATCCCAGTCCTGCGAGTGGTACGTGCTGCTTTCCACCCCCCCACCCACCTGTACCCCTCCTATATGCTGACGTCCAACCCCCACCCAGGTCCAGGCGAAGCACCAGCACCAATGAGCGCACCACCCGGTGCACCCGGTAGCGCCTTTGGAAGTTTTGGAGTTGGAGGTGGAGGTGTGTTTGGGGGTGGGTGGAGGGGGAAGAAGTAGGGTCTTGTTGCCTTGACGGCTTATAGGTGAGGGGGGAGGATCAGGCGGATGTCAGGAAGTTGGGAGGGTGAATCGTGTTTGGGACAATACGATAAGATGGGAAGTGAAGTATGAAGTTCTTTCGATATGTATGTTTGTTCGTGTATGGTTTCTTGAAACTTTGATATATCTTGTCTCTCGACCTTTGCGATGCGACACATTACTGTATGTCTCAGTGTCAGTGCGATGGGCGAGTGAGAATGTTCTTGGATCCCGAAGGCTTGCAGCATAGGAAGGCGTCATCAGGGAAATCCCCCCTCGCCAATTTTCCCAAATTATCGAAAATTACTGTGCCTTGCCTAGTACTCGGCCACTCTACCATATTTCGTCGATATCTTTCCCGTCCTTCCACTGAATCCGTAGCGGTAAGTTCTAGCATGTAGTATACCTTCATGCTCATGTATGAGCACTGGCAAATTTATTTATGAGTTGGATGAAAATGTGCTATGAATATATTGGGCAGGAGGGTACGAAAATGTGCTGTGACTGGGTACTCGGCCATATGTCACAGTGGGAGGTGGGATGGGTATGGATGAGTCGTTTGGGCTCGTAGTGTGTCATTGTGAACCAATAAAAATAATACAGGAAGCATGGGGGCATTTGGAGATAGCAAGGGCATGAAATGGGGCCGCAAATTTGGTCCCCGGGATGAGAAATGGAGGGTTGTGGCAAAATAGGGAAGGCCAGATAACGAGGAGACATGCAAACGGCACCGGAAAGGTATTATTTTGAACATAGAATGTTAAGGAATCGCCTGGGAGAGGTTTTGAGGTGACAAGGTGGTGAGAGCAATTAATCTTCCTTCGCAAGTGGGGGAGAGGGGGAAAACAGTACTTTCGTCTTGATAGGCCTCTCGACCACCGGCAGAGCACTGAGAAATTCTACAAACATGTGTGTCAGAGACTCAAAGGTCGATAGACTAACCCACAGCAAAGAGAAAGACACTCCCACACAACCTCAAGTCCCAGCCTCCGATCTCCATCTGCCCCTTGGAACCCTGCAATCTCCAATCCACCTTAGTTTTTAGCTTTTGTTTCAGGGTGTATTGCGATTTCGATGAAACTAAAAAAGCCTGCTGAAAGAAGTGATCCAACAGCATAAGCCAGTCATTGAAGTAAGCGAAACGAGATCGTATTTGAGAGTGGGAGAGGGCGAAGGAGGGCAGGGCAGCTTGCGCACGTGAGAAATCGTACCCGATTCAGATTTGGTCGACTTCGCCAGATGATTTCTCTTTCGATACTGGACCAATTCACTTCAAATTTGCGATACAGGATGCTGGGATTGTGTATTTCACGGTACTAGCAAAAAATTCTATGCATAGAGTATAGGAGGACGTGGAGAGACGAATTGCCAAGTACCCTGTCTGGCCGATTAGGGGGCTTGGGACAGTAATAAGTATTGCAAATTTCTCCAGATTTGCAGATTTTGTCGATTTTCACTAATCACTGTGTGAAAGGTGTTGCTGCTCAAGCTCCAAGCAGCTGAGAGTAGGTGAGTGTTCAAACTTCAAACCCCTGACCAGTTGGATGGATCACATCCTCAACTAGCTTGGACCAGGTGCAATATGCACCAGTAGTTTGTACCTATTCGCATCTCTGCCAGCTGTGGTCATCCCAGCCTCAAACAGCTGGCTGGTTCAGGTCGATATAGCACATATATTCCAATAAATAGCAAATAAATAATTTGATTCATAGACCCCTAACAACTACAACACATTGAGTCTCTACAGGTACATTACTTTGCATAAATATGCCTGTATAAGGGGGAGCATGAAGGGTTGATCCAAGTGACTGACTTGGGATGCAATCCATCAGCTGGATGTATGCATGTTAGCTGAGGTCAAATTATTTTAGGCATAATGGAGGGCTTACATGTTGGCTAGGGCTTTCCTTATAGATCCAGCTGAGTGAGGTGATGTTGACTTCAAATAGATCAGAAAAGGTGAGGAAAGTGGTAATAGTTAACCTTGCTTCCCTTCCAAGCTGTGTACTCATTGCTGAAGAAGTCTGTGCCAGGGTATCAGGCCATAAAGGATGCCAGGATGTTCTACACTTGTGGAGCATCAGCAAAAAATGGGTATGCAAGGTAGTGCACACTTGTCTCCATAGCCAGTATACCCAGGTGGTACCCCCACAAAATATAGCAAACTGTAGCTCTGGATGGAAAATACGTAGCTTACCATAGCTTGAGGCTTGCCAAATGTAGCTGTCCATACATCCTTGTATTCGAGATGTGAGCCATATACATCCATAGGTTCATACTGGGATAGACCGACATAGTCAACGTAGCAGTTAGTAGAGACAGGGGAAGGTACTGAGGTTGTATTGTCACTTCAGTTGTTCTCCATATATGAGTAGTTCATTGCAACGGAAGGAGAGCATCGGATACATTGTACATTGATGAGGGAGCCATAAGAAAGTAAATAACTGAATGGTATACAAAGAGGTACATAGTTAAGGCTGGCACCTACTTGTCGTCACCCTTGTTGTCGCCCCCATTAGCATCCTCGGCCCCACTGTCATCCTCAGTCACCGACTCCTCGTCCTCGTATTCCCTGATAGTGGCATCAAAGGCCGAATAAGGTATGGCAACACCGGGGATGGCGCCGAGAGGTTGAGCACTGGAATAGAAACTAACACAAGCATTAGCCACAATTGGAAATCAGACAAAATGGAGTGACTCACTGACCCTCAGTCGACAACTTGTTTTGCAGCTTGTCGAGTAGACTGTAGTGGATAGTGTGCTGGCCAAAATTTTGTAGCGACTCAACATGAGCTTCGTAGACCCGTTTGTACTCGGCACCAGTGAAGGCGATGTCGGTCTTGATGCCTGTGCCCCATTTGTCAATTCTGCACTCGATCTGAACACACAAGGGTAAGCATTCAAACAAGAAAGACAACAAGATTGACAGACAGCAGTGAGTACGAGAGTGATCGCTGGGACAGGCAGTGGCTGGAAGTATGTGGAGAATGTGGAACCACATATTATTGATCACCTTCTGGATGATGTCATTCTTGTACAACCCCTTCCTCTGTAACTTGTTAGCATGCAGTACCTACTGAAGAGACATCAGCAACGAGAGAGACAATGATTCATAGAAACCCACTTGATAAACAAAACCAGACTCATCCTTCAATGCAACCACCGTATTGTGATTGTTCTCGGTGATCTTTCGGTTCTGTCCGCTACTGAAGCCA